CTTTTACCACATTTATATCACTGATTTTATCGACAATACAATTAGCAAATTTCTGATAATAATTGCATACCTCACATTCATCTATTTTTACTCCAATTCTGTTCTTAGGGCAAGATCTAAAACTACATTGTTCCTTCGAATTGTCTTCTTCCACAAGCTTCAAGCACCATTTGAATAACTTATATTTGCCCTTACTAGGCTCCTGGATAGATTCAAACTTGTGTCGCTCATCTATTTTAGTTCTTTCTCCATTTCAAAGACTATGACTAAGACTATTTATTTCATTGGCAGGATCTATTCTTGTAGATTTTTAATGACTAATAGGTGCTTTAAGTTCATACTTTTCAATACCGATTTTTGATACCAATGTTTGGTTGCTATCGAGTGCTGTATGCAAATCCTTTTCAACTCAAACTCCATTTTAACCCTATTCTCAAGGTTACAGAGAGCCTGAGCATTTTTTAGTAGAATCGTTAGACCATCTGTCAACTCATAGATGCAGGATATATTATCGTCATACTTGTGGCCACTTTCATACTTTCTGGTGGCAATAGTTGGTTGACTTCTTTCAGATGGAGGTGTATTTTTACTGTTTGTTTTATCAGGCTATTTATTATGGAGGATATAGTGGTTGGTACTTTAAAGCTTACAAACTGCATTATATAAGGTATTTGCAAGGCAGAGATTGTTACTGGAGAATTTGTGAGACAAGTTATTTGGTATATTGATAATGGGGCTACTATGTTGTAGTTAAGATAGGTCTACACATGGCTAATCCTTGTATTGCTATTATTTCATATATTTGGGCTCATTCGACAGCTTCGTGTAGTATATTAGGTATGAAGGATCCAATGGCTGATAATAATTCGAGACAGAGGCCTTGTACGAACATTCAAATCTATGTTAATTCTGAATACTTAACTTCTACTGCCATTACAATGTGTAAACAAAGATACATATTGACAGTGTATTGTTCTACTTTCTTGTCTACTTGTTGTTATCAGGTTAATAATTCTGCGGTCTACTAGTTTATTAGAGCTGGTGTGCAGAAAGTTTGCCAGAATTGGTATACAAAACTTCAGTCTTGCATTGCTTCATTGTTCCAGTATAGTATACAACTTTTTCTTCATTCTACCACAGTATAGCAGAACCAATTAGATGGGCAGCCACAACTACAAGCCACCTTGTTTCTATGATATTGTTTGCTTTGAATGCTTATTTTATTGACTCCAACCATTATATAGAGTCTTGTTTTTTTCTACTAAATGTTAAGATTTTTATCAAATCTATTTTGTCAAGATTCACTTGAGGTTTCTTGGATCATGTCAATGTATCTACCATGGTCTGAAGCAACTGTTAGAGTTGGTAGTTCAGGTTATTCAACAAAATTTCATTTTGAAAGGGGTGTTTTTCCACATTTTTTTTTTTTTTTTTTTGAATTTATATCTACGATTGTACTAACAGTTGTTTATACTATTATACTGACATTTGTTTCAATCTTTGTA